CTGCCCTATTGCAGCGCCTACTCACCTTTCGGCGAAATTCGCCGTTTTGAAACCAAAATAGGTGACCTACGTGAATCGTGTAGATTCGATGAGAAAATGTTTGGGGGGGGGGGTTGGGGCTATAGTATGAAGCCATACTATAGTATAATGTGAGATAGAAATTAATATTTAAGTCTTTCAATTCAAGATCACGTAGACGTTTTCCTCCGCTGCAGCTGTAATTATCCATTCAGCATTCAAACAAACAGCGCGTCGACTCGTCAGTCATTCTCCATTCAGCAAACAGCACAGCGTGCCGTCAGTCATTCAACAGTCAAACAGCTCAGCGCGTCGCGTTCGGCAATGATGAAACTCTCTCCAAGATGATTAAATGTTAATATTATACTTAATCTGTAGATAAAGCTCTTTGGTTTCGCATAAATGGACTATCTTGCAGTAGTAGGCTACCTCAATCATGTTCCTTTACCGCGTGTCTATCACAACCATAGGATCACAACATTGGAGAGCACTATTGTTCTTCACACGCACAGTAACTGAAATGTAAAACTGTTAAAAAAAAAGGCTCAATAAACTATTGCATAGATAGATAATGCATAATTATCTAATAGATAGATAACTGTATAAACACTATGGATCGATATGTATTTCCTTTGTGCTTTGAACTTTTCAACGCGTAACTTAGTCTAAACCTTTTTTAGTCAAAATTTTTTTACAGTCTATGGTCTAAACAGAGCTGCGCGTTGTGACTCCGTGTTGCCTCAAGCGCATCATTCAGCGTTCGGGATGCGCATAAGCACTGTGTGCAGCACTCTATTGCTCTATTGGGGTCTTTCATAATCATATCATAATACTTTTGCGAAATGAAAGATTATTAATAGTATTTTTTTTTTGTTCTGTTCTATCCTATCTATCATATGTTGCTGCCTCATTAAACAGCTGTGCTATACATTTGTTCTCTCTCTCTCTCTCTCTCTCTCTCTCTCTCTCTCTCTATATATATATATATATATATATATATATATATATATATGAAGAGTTCAGATGCAAAAGCCTCTAAATGCCATTTGAAATTTTCTTCGTTAATGATGATTTTTATCAAACTTGTATACTTAAGTTCAGTAATTTCACTTAAATGGCAATGATAATTACCTATCAATTGTTATTTAAGTGAAATTACTGAACTTAAATATACAAGTTTGATAAAAAATCATCATTAAAGAAGAAAATTTCAAATGGCATTTAGAGGCTTTTGCATCTGAACTCTTCATATATATATTGTTAATTTTATAGTAGACTATAAAATAATTGATCTTTTTGATTTTTATCTTGTTTTTCATGAATGTATTTTACAACAATACAAAGAGCAATGTGTAACGTTTTACCAGATTTATTGCTACACTTATTGTCTCTTATTTGTTCCCCACTAATTTTTTTTCCACTAAATGTTCTGATTTTATAAAATTATGAAATTTAAAATTAGTTACCTGTAGAGTGTCCAGTAATACACACACACAGCTCGTGTAAATGCAAACACTTGTTCTTTATTGATGCGTTATCACTTCCTTTTAACAGGGGTCGCCCACATGACATTAACATCAATACAGATATATTTACAGTGATAGTGCCACAACCCTACATCCCCTTTCTTCCAGATAGCACGCTAACCAATTTAACACAACCCACTGAAATACATCATGTACTGAATTCATCTTATAATCAGTCCATTTAGACAATTTTGGTGACACAAAACATAAAAAACATGGTGAGGTATGAGCAACACAGTTGTTTTAGTTTTTTAGCCATGTCCAGACATAGTCCTGATAACACTTATTGGGTTGGCTAACTCTGCCTGCTCAAGTCACCACCAACTGTCTCTCAGATGAAGCAGCAGAATTGACCACTGATGTAATATTAGGAGGTGTAGGTGGATTGCTTTTAATCACTGATGTTATATTAGGAGGTGTAGGTGGTGGGTTTGGGCAGTTTCTCTATCCGATACTGGTGAGGTGGACCTCAGTGGCACATCCTCCTCAGGGCTTGCCATTGGATTTTCATCAACCAGTAGGAGATGTCGCCTGTTCCTAATATATCTCTTTCCTTGTGACGCTAATACATAGCTATTAGGCTGCTGAGCTGGGCCTTCCACTCTTGCCACTTGATCAAACCCACGTTCCGTGTGTACTCTGACTGTTTGCCCTGGTCTTAGTGCAGAGAGACGATGTGCACTGCGATCATAATACACTTTCCTCCTTGTTCTATGTTTGGAGATGGTAGCAGCCACATTGACTTGGATAGCAGGCCTAAGCATGTCTGTGGTTACTGGCAGAAAGGTCCTGGTTTGCCTGGACATGAGACGCTGAGCAGAAGAAGGGAGCCCATCACAGGGAATGTTGCGAGTGTGTAGAATGGCTGCCTGGATATCCGTATACCATCACGGTGGCACTTCTCCAGCAGGTGCTTAGCGGATCTCACTGCACGCTCAGCAAGCCCATTAGATTGTGGATAATAAGGACTGCTGCGGATGTGTTCAAAATCCCATGCTTGTGAAAAGTCTGTAAAGTCCCTTCCAGTGAATTGGGTCCCATTATCAGTCATAAGTGTGTGTGGCACACCATGTGTTGCAAAGTGTCGCTTCAACTTCGCAATGACCATGTTGCTGGTCATGTTGGGGAGGTAATCCAGCTCGAACCACCCTGAGTAGGAGTCCACCAGAACTAGATGCATTTTGCCATGCCACTCAAATAAATCAGCTGCAGTAAATGACCATGGTACTTCAGGAACATCATGGAGTTGCATTGGTTCCTTTGTGTGATGTGCTGTCAAAGCGTTGCATGCAGCACAACGAGACACCTCTCTTTCGATATCCGTGTACATTGAGGTCCAGTACATAGTCTCTCTAGCTCTGCGTTTGGTAGCTTCAATCCCAGGATGACCCTGGTGTAGTTGACCCACGTAAAACGCTTGCAATGCTGCAGGAATTATTAACCTTTGCCCACGCAGAAGTAGTCCATCCTCTACTGTCAACTCTTCCTTCATGGAGAAAAACGGACGCAACTGTTGCGGTAGCTCCTTGGAGGTGCTGGGCCAGCCATGCATGATGACTTCAACTAGCTGTTGACAGATGACATCACTCTTTACTGCATCTCTTTACTGATCTCGTCAGTCTTATTTTGCACTTGTTCCTGTTCAGCTTTCAAAAGTTTTTTCTTGCTCATTCCCGCAGCTTTATTAGCCGTTCCTCATGCTCTTGAATGGCATCTCCCCACACCAGCAAGTCATGGATGAGATTTACCACACCTTCCAGTCCTTCTGTCATTTGTGCGATGGATCTCTGAGAGACTTCTGACGCTGATGATACACCGAAAGGTCAGCTAAGAAAACGCTATCGCCCAATTGGTGTGTTGATTGTGCAAAGCTTTGACCTTTCATGATCCAGCTTTATCTGCCCAGACCTTTGATTCGCGTCTAGCACAGAAAAGTACTTTGCATTCGGCATTCTTGAGACCATCTTCTGCTGTCAGCATTGGATAATGCTCTCTTTTTATGGCCAGATTAAGATCTTTAGGATCCACACAAATGTGCGTTTTCTTGGATGTAACTACAGGTTCAATGCTGTCGACCCATTCAGTCGGCTCAGTTCGCTTTGCGATGACCCCCATCTGCTCCATTCTCTGTAGTTCTTCAAGCACTTTCTCTTGCAGAGCTACAGGTCTCCTTCTTGGCGCATGCACAACTGCTCTGACATTTGGATCAGTTTGTATGTGGTGTTCTCCTGGTCAACAGCCTAGTCCTTCATATAGATCGCCACAATCCTGGAGAATGTCTCTGCTCTTTTCAGTTTCAGACAGTCTTTTAATCATGCCCATTTTTGACATGCAGATCGTCCTAGAATGACAGGTGCATCAGGCTTCATTATTTCCAACTGTTCCTCCTTGGCTGTTGTCAGAAGTTCCAGTTGATTTAGGATTATTGGAGGAAAAGGAAGTCAATGGGTTGGATCATTACAGGGCTCAGAATTACATAGATAGCAAATATAAAGAAGGACTTATTTTATATACTGATGCATCAAAGCTGAAAGATAAGAAAATGGGAATTGCTTATGTTATCCCTCAACTAAATATTGAATATGCTAAAAGAATTAATGATGATTTAGCAGTATATACAGCAGAAATGATGTGGATAGAGAGCAATAAACCTAAGCAAGCTGTGATTGCGTCAGACTCCAGTTCAGTATTGTTAAGTCTCAAGCATCTTCACTCTGAGTCTAGACAAGATATAGTGTTTGAAATAATCCATTTAGCTAACAATCTGCGGAAGTCTGGTATTAGTACTACATTTATATGGGTGCCAGCTCATATAGGTGTAGGAGGTAATGAGTTGGCAGACAAATGTGCGAAGAAAGCAGCATAGAAGGATTATAGAGATCAAATACAGTAAAGCTGAAGTTAAAAGTATAATTAAAACAAAAATTAATGACAAATGGCAGTTTCTCTGGGACAATGAACAGACTGGGAGATAGAATTCAAGGAAAAGTGGGAAAGAGCAGGAATACATACAGGAAAAGGCAAGAAGAAGAGGTGGTGTCTAGAATGAGATTAGGACATACAGGGTTAAATAGAACGTTATTTATAATGAATAAGCATGTTGATGGAAAATGTGATTACTGCAATAGTCAAGAGACAGTAGAACATGTAATTATGAATTGTCCTAAATAGCATCAAGCTATAGGCAAAGGCTGATATCACAACTAGGTGAGAATGGGATTACCCTAAACTTACAGGAAATAATGCAAAGAGGGTCTGAAATTTGTTTTTATTTTTTGTTTTCTTTTTTTAAAGATAACTGGGTTAATTAAAAGAATTTAAAAAGTGTGGTCAGACCAGGTTGCAGAGTATGAGTTTGACCCATTGATCCACACTCCAGTCCAGATGGTGGCGGTAATGCACCAAAAAAGCTGGTTGCCAACCGCCATAGAAAGAGAAGAAGAAGACGACACAGAAAGTGAAAGTTAGTTCTCCTGTCGCCATTTTGAGCTGGAAAAATATAATACGACACGGAAAAAACAGAGCATCGAGTGTTTATCAACGCTTAAGAATTAATTTACTTGTAGTTTTATGATGTTAAAGCTGGAGGATTTGAAGTCCTGTATCTTGTAAAAGTTTGATCAAGGTGAGTGTAGGCTACATGTGTGACTCTCATATTAATATGAATCTCTGGAGGACATTTTACGTGATTTTTTGATTTGATATAAAATTAAGAGTTTCTTTCACTTCAAGGTTTCTTTTATGTTTCGTAAACTTTGGGATTTTTTCAGAAGTATGTGTAAATATTCATTAGCTTATGTGTAAACATTCATAGGCCAAATCACAGCTCAGACACACGCTTTTTAAACACCGGATCAGAGTCTGTCGAAGCGGGTCGGGGTTTGTTTTCTTTCACCCGAACATGTTCAGCGTTTCCGGTGTCCGTTATTTTCATGAATTCTAAATCCAACGGCCGACTTGTGTGTGTGTGTGTGTGTGTGTGTGTGTGTGTGTGTGTGTGTGTGCGTGTGTGCGTGTGTGCGTGTGTGTGTGTGTGTGTGTGTGTGTGTGTGTAAAGGCCCAATGAGCGTGAGTTAACGAAGTTACACGATCCCTTTTCTCACACACTCCAGATATGTGCAGCTAAATTATGAAGGTTATTTAATTTATTAATTTAATATTGTGTGTGAATGTTTCTTCATCAGAGTCAGTGGAGGAGATCAAACTCATCAGATTCTCCTGATCTTCATCATGGCTGATTCACAATCATCCAGAGATGGAGATTTCTCTCCAGGACGCAGGTACTTTCAACTAAGACTGTTAAATATTGTGTCACATAAGAAAAATATCAGTTTGTGACCCCCTGCACAAGTTTACAAAAAAACCAAAAAAAAAAAAAAAACAAACAAACCTGAATACACACACACACACACACGCACACACACACACACACATATGTTTTGTGTCTAATTTTTCTTGTGTTTTTGTTTTGAAACTAACATGAATTATTAAATAAAACAATCATAAAGTTTCTTCAAAGTGCTTTAAGATGAAAGATAAATATGTTTATATTAATATGTTTTGCGGTCTGGGAAAACCCGTCGGATGTCGCGCTGGTACGTTTTTTTTAGTAAGGTCTAAATATAGATTGAATGTCAGTTTTTTGTCAAAATTGGGTTTTTATTCAATGATTATTCTACAACATCATGTTTATCATCTCTGAATATATCTTGGGAAAATTCCCTATTAGTGCAGAAAAATAGTGATTTATACTGGCCAGCTGACAAGACTGTGTTTCTCTTTAAGAACACGCACGGCAAAAAACAATATCTCCCGTTGAGCTCTCCTTTTCTTAACACTCCAAAGACAGTTCACCAATCAAAATAAACCACACAACAGAATAAAGTCCAGTCGTGGGTGAACTACAACGGCTGCACGCAAGTTTTATTTATTTTTATACAGCGTTATCGTGTGGCGTGATGTGGAGCACAAGAGAACAGAGTTTGAAGCTGCTCGTTTAAAAGATCTTGCTCGCCTCTCAATCATTCAATTTCAAAACGGGTTTCACTGGATGAATTTTGAGTTCATAAGCTTTCGAATGATACCTAATCTATGATGATAACTAAAATATGTGATATGAAAAAAGGCAATAAATAAAGAGCACCAGTCGTCTCACTAGTAGGACTTGACAGTAAATTAAACCGTTTTTTCTCAATTCCGTTTCTGAAAATCACAGCGATCAGCCGACTTCAGATAACCACAACTTCTGTTACAGAAAAACAATAAAATAAATAAAATAATAGGGTCTTAATAGGGTCTCAAATCCTGTAATATGTCAAATTTCACCATGTGGTGGGTTTTCCCAGATCGCATCACATATGGTTAATCTCATAACGAATGAACACAGTAATGTAGAGGATTAAACTGAATCTGTTCTCTGTTCCAGTTCAGTCCAGCAGAAGAGCTCAAACCCAGAGTCCAGCTGTGTGTCTGTGAAGAGTGACCGCTCTATGGGTCATCCACTAAACTTTAAGAGTGGAAATACACGGCCTAGTCTCAGGTATATCATTTATATAAAAGATGTGCAATAGTGACACTTCTGAATTAGACTCATAATTGATCTTTGAATTAGACTCATTATCTTATATTACGGGACATGTAGGTAAACTACAAACTGGAAGGTTGGTGGCTCAATCCCCGGTTCCACCTGACCAAGTGTCAAGGTGTCCGTGAGCAAGACACCTAACTCAAGCTGTGTGTGTGTGTGTGTGTGTGTGAGACACCTAACCCCAGCTGCTCCTGACGAGCTGGATAACGCCTCGTAGGACTAACACCGCCGTCGGTGTGTGAATAAGTGTATGAATGAGTGTATGAATGAGTGTGTGAATGAGTGTATGAATGGGTGTGTGAATGAGTGTGTGAATGAGTGTGTGAATGAGTGTGTGAATGGGTGTATGAATGAGTGTATGAATGAGTGTGTGAATGAGTGTGTGAATGAGTGTGTGAATGAGTGTGTGAATGAGTGTGTGAATGAGTGTGTGAATGGGTGTATGAATGAGTGTATGAATGAGTGTGTGAATGAGTGTGTGAATGAGTGTGTGAATGAGTGTATGAATGGGTGTGTGAATGAGTGTGTGAATGGATGTATGAATGAGTGTATGAATGAGTGTGAATGAGTGTGTGAATGAGTGTGTGAATGGGTGTATGAATGAGTGTATGAATGGGTGTGTGAATGAGTGTGTGAATGAGTGTGTGAATGGGTGTGTGAATGAGTGTGTGAATGAGTGTGTGAATGGGTGTGTGAATGGTGTGTGAATGAGTGTGTGAATGGGTGTGTGAATGAGTGTGTGAATGGGTGTGTGAATGAGTGTGTGAATGAGTGTATGAATGGGTGTGTGAATGAGTGTGTGAATGGGTGTGTGAATGAGTGTGTGAATGAGTGTGTGAATGAGTGTGTGAATGAGTGTGTGAATGAGTGTGTGAATGGGTGTGTGAATGAGTGTGTGAATGAGTGTGTGAATGGGTGTGTGAATGAGTGTGTGAATGGGTGTGTGAATGAGTGTGTGAATGAGTGTGTGAATGGGTGTGTGAATGAGTGTGTGAATGGGTGTATGAATGAGTGTATGAATGGGTGTGTGAATGGGTGTGTGAATGAGTGTGTGAATGAGTGTGTGAATGGGTGTATGAATGAGTGTATGAATGAGTGTGTGAATGAGTGTGTGAATGGGTGTATGAATGAGTGTATGAATGAATGTGTGAATGGGTGTGTGAATGAGTGTGTGAATGAGTGTATGCATGAGTGTATGCATGAGTGTATGCATGAGTGTGTGAATGAGTGTGTGAATGGGTGTATGAATGAGTGTATGAATGAATGTGTGAATGGGTGTGTGAATGAGTGTGTGAATGAGTGTATGCATGAGTGTATGCATGAGTGTATGCATGAGTGTGTGAATGAGTGTATGAATGAGTGTATGAATGAGTGTGTGAATGAGTGTGTGAATGAATGTATGAATGAGTGTATGAATGAGTGTGTGAATGAGTGTGTGAATGAGTGTGTGAATGAGTGTATGAATGAGTGTATGAATGGGTGAATGTGAGGCAAAAATGTAAAGCGCTTTGGTGGCCATTGGGTCTGTGAAAGTGCCATTTCCCATTTATCTCAGTCAGTCTAACACTAGCAATGATATCAAGTAAATGTAAGCTGAGGTTTTCGGGACGGCGTCTCTGTTCGGCGAAAACTGTGCTTCGGATGAGACGTTAAACCGAGGTCCTGACTCTCTGTGGTCATTAAAAATCCCAGGATGTCCTTTGATAAAGAGTAGGGGTGTAACCCCGGCATCCTGGCCAAATTTGCCCAGTGGCCTCTGTCCATCATGGCCTCCTAATCATCCCCATCTATACCAATTGGCTTCATCACTGTCTCCTCTCCACCAGTAATCTGGTGTGTGGTGAGCGTTCTGGCGCACTATGGCAGCCGTCGCATCATCCAGGTGGAGCTGCACACTGGTGGTGGTTGAGGAGATTCCCCTCTCTATATGAAGCGCTATATAAATGTAATTAATTATTATTATTATTCAGTGTTGGGGAAGCTACTCTGAAACTGTAGTTTGACAAGCTACAAGCTACTCGTAAGTTAAAGTAGTTAAACTACAGTCAAGCTACTCTTTTGGAAAAGTAGTTAGCTACACTACAAGTTACTATCAAAAAGTAGCTAGCTACATTGAAACTACTTTTGCTTTTTTGAACAACGTATATTATTAATAACTGAATAAGTGTCTGAGGACAGAAGGGGACAACAATACTTTTTGAAATCATAATTTTATTGCATTATTTTAAACACTAAATGTTTTACTTGTAAAATATTTAGTGTTTAAAACAATGCAATAAAATTATGATTTCAAAAAGTATTGTTTAACACCCAAATATCTCAGAATGTGTGTCAAAAGTGCAAAATTGCAACAAATAGCCTACAACATTGCAAGAAAAAAATATACATCCAACGTAAATTGCATGTAGAACATTTTCTCAAAAATACCGATTGAACTTGGATAAATAAGGCCATGGATAATTAACTTTAGTTGTTTCTCCATCCTCCAAATCTTCCGTCACATCTTGCTCCATCATCATGTGTGTGTCAACACACTTCTGTACGTCAGTGAACCGTTAGCCGCAAGATGCGTGATTAAACAACAGGTGGCGGTAATGGCAAAAAATGAGTTTGTAATCTAAAAAGAAGAAGAATATCCTTGCATCGCGGCGATTCGCGCAGACTCGACGACAAACGCAATGTAGCTTTTGCTCGCGCTACACCGCTACTTGCTGCAAAAAGTAGTTAGCTACTGGAAAAGCTACACTGTTTAAAAAGCAACTGAGCTACAGCCAAGCTACTGAAAAATGTAGTTAAGTTAGTAGCGTCGCTACTTGTAGTTAACTACTCCCCAACACTGTTATTATTATTACCTTTATATAATGGAGTCGGTGTAAAATTGAGCAGATGTTAGTAAGCGCTGGTTCAGATTTGTTGAGAGCTTCACAGTGTCTGGTCAGAACAGTGATGTTTCACAGCAAGATACCGTTACTAGTAGGGATGCACCGAATATTAGGCCGCCAAAAATTTTCTGCCGAAAATGGCCCAAAAGTGCATTTTCGGTTTTCGGCCGAAAGACTTTTATCACCGAAACAATATGGCCAAAATATTGTGATGACGCAAACAGAAACCGATGTCTGCGGCGTGGACGTATTTCAGTGTATCTGAACCCGCGATGAGACGGAAACCTTGTTTATCCACCTATATCTGCTCTAAACAATGCGCGCCGCCATGACGACGACTCCAGTTGTGAGCGGGTCAAGAGCGGTGCGCGCGCTGTCTGTCTGTGGAGACTCGGGCTGCGGAGGCAGGCGAAAGTATAAACAAGGCAGCGCGAGTCTCCACAGATAGCGCGCGCACCGCTCTTGACCCGCTCGCAACCGGAGTCGTCGTCATGGCGGCACGCATTGTTTAGAGCAGATATAGGTGGATGAAACAATTAAAAATTATAAATAAGACTCGCGCTGCGGAGGCAGGCAAAAGTAAACAAGGCAGCGCGAGTCTCCACAAACAGCGCGTGCACCGCTCCAAACGGTCGAGGCGTTTATACTTGACGCGCTCTCCGCTGTACTATTCCTTGAAACGACAGGGGACGATTCAAGTAACTGTCCTCTAACCATCAGGAATCGGTGAGAAGAAGACAGATAAATACATGACAATGTTTAGCCTATTTTTTAGTATTCCACCACCAATACAAAAATAATCATGTAAAACCCAGTAAACCCTGAGATTATTACTTTTGTGACATTACAAAAAAATATGTATATGGGAACATGTATGTATAGAACTAAATTAATGCTCTCTTAAATATTTTCTACATTCACTAAACATGTTTAATTAAGTTTCATGTACATTTGTATTAAACATGGACCATTGTTTATTTAAAAAGTATTTTTATGCTATTGTATGCTAATTTTTTAAAATGTAACTAATTTAGACATGCAAACTGGGTGCTGGTGTGATGAGAAGTTTGTGCTCGGCTTTGTTTTTGAGAGAACATTTCATTTTAAAACCTTTCTGCAGGCCAGTAGATTATTATTTAGTGTACACATGAGTGGGGTCAAGTTAAACATTTTAGTTTGAATTTTATATTATACTGTGCATTGTGCTAAATAAATATTTGCATAGTTTGTAATTGATTTATTCTTTGAAAATGTTATATTCATTTATGCAATTGCAATGCCTTGATTTTAGTAAAGTTTGTACACAGTCATAGCCATAAATGCAATGATACTAATAATTGGCATAATTTCTTTCGGTGTTTCGGTTTTCGGCCTTGGTTTCCTCTTTTTCGGTTTTCGGTTTCGGTCAAGAATTTTCATATCGGTGCATCCCTAAGAGTACAGTAAGCTGGTTTATCTTTAAAGCTCAGCAACACATTGGTCTCTTTAGTCGCTGAGTCTTCGTCCTCCATTGGGCCGTTCAGAAGAGTCATGTGATGTTCACCTGAGTTTAATCTATTCTATAATTCTATAGTTGTTTTCAATGTTTTTTTTTTATTCCTAATGCCTAATAAAACCATTTATTTTTTCAGTTGCTTTGATTCATTTTTTAAATCATGCTTAACATTTAAAAAACCAGTTAGTTAAAGGGTCACTTCACCCATTTGTATTAAGCTTTGTATCTTTAGAAACCCAGTCATATTTTTGAAGGGTCATGGTTTATTCCCTTATTTTCCCCTGAGATGGGAGAAATAAGGATTTAAGTGTTTTACTTCCTGCTTATCGTGATGTAAAAATCCTCATTTTGCGTCACGATAAGCAGGAAGTCATATTTCATTAAAATCTTTAGAACTACATATATTAGCTCATTATTATGCCAGGGTGTTGGACCCACTCACCCACTCACCCTATTACAGATCAGTGGGTGGGACTTCACTTGCAGAAACTGAATCAATATCCGCCATCTTGTTTGGAAGCTAAGCTAACAAGCGCTGTGGAGATAGTAAGTATGACAATGACGGAAGAAACTAA